TAGAACACTGGTTCATGCAGTAAGTGATGCATTTCAAGTTGCAATAGCCAGAAAGATTTTTTTTATTCTACTAAATCAGTGATCTATTCTTTATTCCACACAAACAGCAGAAACTACCTTTGGTCTTGTATCCTTGAGAGGAATAGGCTGAAAAGACAGCACGAGGCGACACAGCAGCTGTAATGCTCGCAGAATAATTAAAAATATCTGCAAAGCAATTTAAATTTAATTTAATCACAGCACTCCAGATAAAAATACAACGAAATAAAAAGCCACAGAATCACCTACGTGACCAACCTATTTTCTCCAAACCCAACCCTCACAACCACTTTGTGTATGACCTGACATACAGCACTGATCCAGCATCCAAACTCAGCAACCAACCCTGCACTTCCCAGTCTCTTACATGAACCAACTCCTCATCATCCTGTGCAGCATAGATGGCAAAGCGCCTCTCCAAGGTCGACTGAAGGGGCTCTCCTTTTTCAGTGGAAAGCTCATCATTAACAGTGAAGGTTCCAATAAACCTGAAATATGAGACACCTACTTATTGTCTAGTGTTTGTGACTGTATTCCTAAACTTCAGAGTTGACCCTTTTCTGTAAAAAGGACAGACTCTCTCCCATGTATTTAAAATCAAAAAAAAAATCACTGAAAATTGGTAACTAGTTACCCCTCTCCCTGAACTCTTGCTCTACATTCTATGACAGCATGATTTCTAGAAAAGTTTTACCATTTCACCAAGTTGGAAAGGTAGATCAGGTCCACTTTGCCTGCGGGCACTGTGGTGAAGCGGGTGGGGATGACGGACAGACCGATGGCGAGGAGATCGGGCTGACTGCAGATCCTGTTCCGATAGAAACCATTCGCTAACAAACACAGGAGGTGAACCTGAGAGAGAAAAGTTTTTACAGTGAGTTCTCAAAAGATCTTCTTTTGTGGAACTTTTGTCCATGGTAAAGATAAGGAACACTTCGCTGCTTCTTCTAACAGAGACAGGCAAAAATGAAACCTCCCAAGCATTCACAGGGTGGAAACAGCGCTGTCTTCAGAAGACAGGAAAGCCTTGAAGTCCCTGTCAGTGTCTCCTGCTCTACATGACTGGCAGTTTAACCCTCATAGAATGAAAAGATCTCCCTCAATGGAGAGATATAGATCCTACTTGCATATGGTTTAAGCTAGAATTTTACTAATGCAGACACTGATGTTTCCAGCTCACAATTTAGGAGGAGTCTAACAATCATTTGTCAGGACTACAGCCTTTTTATTTTTTCATTTCTAGCCACGGCCCCACATTATTTGGTCAAAACTAAGTATCTTCTTTATTACAGATCACTTCAGAAATCTTTATGCTCAACTTTTTCTCTGCCAGGGTTCTCTGTGACAAATACCTTATGTGTGTCCTCACGAACCTCCTTGCTGAAACGTTTCATCATCCTGCGAAGATACGCTTCAAACTCGGCTTTCCTTTTTTCTCTGCAGAAGATTACAAAAGAGATGGATGCTGTGGGATTTCTGTGGACCTGCCTTTCCAGACACCTGAACTGGCTCAGTTCACAAAGAGAATCCATCCCAGAGAATCTTCTGGGCACACTTACAGAAAAGTTTAGTTACTGGCTATGTGAATAGGCAAGAAGGATGCATATGACTGTGAACTCCATGCACCTGACTACTGAGAGCTTGGTATATTCAGATGGTCTAAATTCTACCTAACTTCATGTGCCTTCAGTTTCTTATCAACGGTTTTGGACAGCTCCATACTAAATTTAACTGAATTGTCTGACTTTTAGACTACTGCTGGCATTCCACTCAGATTCCAGGAAAAATGGTTTTCTCATCATCAGGCCTCCAGCCACCACCCAAAGTCAGCCTTCCTTGGGTTAATGCTCCCAGATGCCAAGGGCATTCATTTAACCCACCTATTCACACCTCAGGTACTGGCACACAGAAGCTTCCATCTGAGCTGTTAAGACATTTGCAGAAACAAAATGCCAGTCACTCACAGCTCTCCTTGCAGATCTACTGCTGTCCCTTGATTTAGAATAAAGCACAGTGAAGTTACATGCTTGATTTTCAAGGAAGCTGAGAAGTTTCTATTCCTGCCAACTTCTATTGCAGATTTTTGGTAAAATTGTCAAAGTGTAGACTGTTCTCTGTCCCTTGACCCTGCATCATTCCAACTGAACCGTCTGCACAAAGTGGGGACTTTCACCCAGAACACGGCAAGTCAGTGACAGCTAAGACTTAGCATACTTTTAACTTCACCCTTTACCAGCCCTCCACTGCCTCCTTGTTCTTACCTCCTCTCTCTTTTCTTCATCTGCTCTGGGGTTTCAATCTCTATCTCCACAGGTTTGCTTGGCAGCCCCACTGCTGGAAGAACAGCAGCTTCTTCAAACTTATCTGTGGCAGGTTCCTGGAGCTCTGAAAAAATAAAATATTAATAAATTATAAGTAAGCATGGAACAGACCCCCAGAGAGGACTGATAATGGGATAAGAAGCTACATTTTCCTTCTCAAGTACTCAGTCTATAAACTGAACATCCCTAGTAATTACCAGTTCCCAGACCTTCCGTAACAGTGTGCGTGCTCAGTTATTTCAAATAACTGTTGGATGCCAGTCACCTGCTGTAAAAGAATCAGCTCAGAACAGTTTAATGCCTAGTGACTGTCACAGGCAAACTCAGTCAGGAGAAAGGTGAATGAAGCAGATGTGACTTCAAGGGTACTTGTAAAATACCAAAGAAAAAACCTGACAGCTCTTCACTTTAGAAGGCATAAATGTGTAGCAGCAAAATAAGAAGATTATGATCATCATGATTCTTAACGTAGTTTGTTGATGGCCATGTAATCAAACAGCTCAGTTGGTTTCATCTTCACTCTTCTTTACTGGGAATTCACAGTTTTGAATCTTCAAACTGACTCATCCTTAGCTGCTCAGCATCAGCCAACATAAGCAGCTGAGAAAGTGCTTTGTGCATGGCAGCATGATTTTAATGTAAGTCAAAAGGTCAGCAACTGTGTGGCTCTTTTTCTTCTTTGGAACCTTTCTAAAAGCATTGTGAGATATGAGTTTTTAGATACAGATATACAGATGGAACACACTTTAAGTATACAGAGTATAAGCATTTATCTGAATCCAAATGAGAAATGGCTCAAAAATCAAATTATTAAAAAAATAATTTTTTTAAAATTAATAAACATGCAATTGCTACCTTCCACATCCTCCCATTCATCTTCACTTTCATCATCATCATCATCGTCAGTATTGTCTTCACTCATCTCTTTTTTAACAGGTGATTCTTTCTTCAACCTCATCTTCTGAGGGGACTTTGGTGATTCACTGTAAAAATTATCAAAACAGCTTTAGCACCATGAAATGTAGGTGCTTGTTTATTTAAGAAGAACAGAGACAGAAGACACTAAAAATAGGGAAATAAATGGAGCATGACCTCCGCATCAACAACAACAGACTGAGTATCTGACAATTAAATCACAGAAATCTTCTCTGTAGAGCAAACTATCTCTGCCATAAATAACCACAGGCTCAATGGAATAACATGTTTCCAGTGCAAACTTAGGTTCTGATTCTGCATGGATATTTAGGATGGAAAAAACCTAAACCTGAGCCACGCCTGAACCTACAGAAGGTCCCATCCTTTAGAACAGCTTGTACAAACCAGTTTTTGGAGAAATGGTTCACTGAATCATTTATTCTTACTGTGTACTGAAATTGGAGCTGTTTCTGTTTCCCTACAATAACGCCCAAGGCTCTGGGTGTCTAGTAAAACGAGACCAATCAGTTTAATTTCTTTTTATTAATATATTTGCTATAGCAATCTACACATGTAGACTGTGCTGATATTATATTTGTATTTAAAAAAAAACACCAGAGAATTATATATTTAAATATTTCTGCCTATCATCCAAATCTCAGAACAACATTTATTCATGCTGGATTCCATAAAACATCCCTGGTCCCATGTGAAAACTAAAACAAATGAAATAAAATTTTATATTTAAATGACTGAACTCGGAAAGGCTCACAAATTTCCTTCCCATGCAGCCCGTCTTCCTCGGGACTGATTCTACACTGCTCACATGCACATACACAGAACCAGGCCCTAAAGAAATCAGATGAAGAGAAAGCTCCCACAGACTAGAATGATAAGTAAACTTACCTGCACATTTCCTCTTTGTTACAATTCTCTTTATTTCTACCGTTCCTTTTATTTTCTTTTGTTTGTGATTTTGCCCCTGTTTGTTTTGAAGTTTTTGCTGAGTTGGAAACTCCATTATCACAACCTTCTTCCTTTTTCCTAGCTGGAGCTTTTGAGTTCTTTTTTGTACTGGGCTTTTCCTCTTCAAAATCATCTGCACAGAAGAGAAGAAGGGAAAAGACGTTAAAGGATGAAGTTTCATCTCCATGGCAATCAGAAACAATATCTCCGTGGACCTCATCAGAGGCAGCTACAGAACTGAGCACTCACAATGCTGAGTTTGTGAACAAATAGGTAAGATCCGAACAATGACACTTAAGGAAAATATTTATAATAATGCAATACACAAGAGGCACTTAAAGATTCTTAGTCTTACCGATGGGGTCGGCTGAAAACCAAGCATCGTGCTCGCCACTCACAAGAACTTATTACTTTGTGAAGCTGCGAGGTGAGACAAACCCCCCGGCTCGCTCAGCCTTTGTGAGCGCTCCTGGGGCAGCGTGCGGGGCCCGCGGCACACGGGGGTTAAACCCCCGATTTCTGTGCGCCCCTGGCACTGGTAACGCCGCCGATCCCACCGCCGATCCCCACCCACGGCTCCAGCCTGCGGTGACTGCCCTTCCCCTCACGGAGCTGCCCCCGCTGCCCACCCCGGCCTGGAGCGGCCCCAACCCGCGGCGATGGCGCAGCGCCCGGCCCGGCCCGACACGGCCTCCGTGCCGCACTCACCCTCCTCCTCCTCCTCCTCCCGCAGCCCCCCGGAGCGTCTCTTTCTGGCAGCCGCGGGCCGGGGCGATGCTTTGCGCTTCCTGCCCATGGCGCTCCCCGCAGGTCCCGCCGCGGCCCCGGCCCGGCCCCGCGCAGGGGAAGAGTAAAGGGAAGGGGAAGGGGCCGGGCCATAAAGTCTCGCGGGCGGGTGCGGGAGGCGGTTTGAAAGATGGCGGATGAGGTGGATCAGGTGAGCGGCTCCAGCGGCGCGCAGGGAAGGAGCTCCCGGTGCCTCCCGCCTCTCTCCGCGGGCCCGGGGCGGGAGGGAGAGGTAGCAGCAGCTCTCGGCTGCCCGGCTGGGCTGGGCGCGCCCGAGCCCGGGCACCCTCCGTGAGGCGCGGCCCCTCGGGGAGCGTTTTCCGTGTGGAATGAAATTCCTGCTCGGGCTCGGAGCTTGTGCCGCCGCCGAGGCGCGGACAAGGCTCCCTTCAGGCCCGTTTGCCTGGGCAGGAAAATGCAGGAAAGCTGCCGAGGGCAGTGCCTCCTCCCTGAGGAGGAAGGAAGGAGGGAGCAAGCTGCGGGATGCGCACGGAGGGGTTCACGGTTTTTTGCTTGTGATCCCCAAAGCGCGCCGTTATCACAAAAAGGGGCCTCAGCCCGCTGTGTGCAGGTTTCAGAGCAGCCTCAGGGCCTGGCCTGGCTGCCCTGCGGCCGAGCAGGGCCTCGGGAGAGGAGGGGGGTGTGTGGGGCAGTGTATGACCGGGTAACTGAGGTCACCTGAGCGTGCGACCAGGTCGCTGACTGTGCTGGCAGAGGTGTCAGCGTGGGTTTGGCTCTCCCGGCCTGCACTGTGCCATGGCACAGCCGTGGTGCTGGTTCACGTGTAGGCTCTCTGCTGCAGTGGGGATGATGGTTGCTGGTAAGAAAAACTGTTCCATAGAATCACAGAATGGTTTGGGTTAGAAGGGGCCTAAAGGTCCTCTAGGTCCAATCCCTCTGTGTGTGATTTGCTGCGGAATAAACAAGTCTTTTAACTCCTGTTGCTTAGGCTGGTGAATATCCATAGAGTGGTAAATAGCTGCACTCAGGTTCATCAGGATGTGAAGAGATGATTTGAAATACTTGCATCTATGTTCTTACTTCTCTGTTTTCTGTGTCTCACAAACGCTAAGGAACGGAGAAGTTCACAGGCTTCTTCTGTACATGTAACTCTTATGTTTTGTTTTTTAGCAACAAACAACAAATACTGTAGAGGAGCCACTTGATCTCATCAGACTCAGTCTAGATGAGCGAATTTATGTCAAAATGCGGAATGACAGAGAGCTTAGAGGCAGGCTTCATGTAAGTAAAACGTTCGGAACACTGTCATACTCATTCAGCTAAGGACTGGGCAACTGTTTTTTATGTACAACAGGCTGTTATGCAAGTTTACCTGTAATATTCCATTAATTGTTCAAAAAACTAGTTTGGAACCACAGGTATTTGTATCTCACGGTTGAAAGTGTGGAAAGGGTTAGAGAAGGTAGATGGAAAAATCATCTTAGTAACAAGGTCTGAACACTTTCTCTTACAGAAGTGTAATGCGATCAGTGAAAAAATCTAATTTGTTCAGTACTTTGCTATTAACTGCTTCCCTTGAAAGTTAGGAGATGTATTTTGATTTTCTTGTCTCCTGAATGTTACTAAGCAATTAATTTCACTGCTCTTGGCTTACGTTTCTGTGTCTGTGAAATGAGCAATAATGCTGCAAGCGTCTTCTTGTGATGTACCCTGAGGTCTCTTCAAGACAGAACTAATGAGGTTATCACTATCACATGAGTATCTCTTGAGGCACACCTGTTGAGAGTATGATGGGATATATACTCAGCTGGGTTCTCAGTAAATCTCATTTGTGTAAGTGCTTTCTTCTGAGATATGACTCTTGACAAAAAGGGTTTTTGCTTTCTTTTAAGTCAGTCATCCTTCCTGAGTGTTGTGCTTTGCTGGGGAAGAGAACCAGTTGCCCATGTGTTAACTGGGCCTCAACTCCTTTGGAAACACAGAGATGACGAGAGATCCGTGAGGCACATGTGTAGTTTCCAACATGCTTTTGTAAGGTTTCTGGAACATATGTTTATTTTAAGGTTTTGTAGTACCGTATGTGAAACAGCTTTCATAACCTTTAAGTTGTCCCCAGGCAATCAATTCCAGGAGGCTGGACTGGCAGCAGAGAATGTGTAGCTGGTTTAATGTTAATGAAGTGTGTCTGTCTCTGAGTTCTTGTATGTGTTCTCATACAATGCTTTAGAGCTATTTCCTGTAAATGTTTTCCTTTTTTTTTTCTACTGCAAAGTACCCATTTGTTTATGTTTGTTTGGAATTATAACTACAACTGATACTACTTTGTTTTGACATAGTGACGTATTTTGGTCAAAATCAGACTAAACTAATTTTGTCTGAAAGACTTGCTAAAATTCTCATTTTAGTAAGCTCATTTTTTAATTTTGGAAGAAATAATAAAATAACTTCGTTCCTACAGGCATATGATCAGCACTTAAATATGATTTTGGGTGATGTGGAAGAAACTGTGACTACAATAGAGATTGATGAGGAAACCTATGAAGAGATTTATAAAGTAAGGACATAGTGTATTTATCCCCATAGATTCTTTCATTTTAAGCTACACTGTTATATTGCTAAAGTAGTTTATTGCTGACTGTTTTTTGAATCAAGCTCTAACAGAAGTTCGGGACAAATTGTAATGAAAGTACACAGGACATCCAAAAACTTGGTGAACATTGTGTGTTTGTTGGAGTTGTTTCAGGTGTGTTTTTTATGATTGAATTTGGTCATATGCTTAGCAGAGATGTTTTGTGATCTATGCTTTTGTAAATGTAAACTTTTCTTCTTTCCTTTTTCCCAGTCTACCAAAAGGAATATTCCGATGCTCTTCGTCAGAGGGGACGGCGTTGTGCTTGTAGCTCCCCCGCTGAGGGTTGGTTGAAGCAACAAAGGATTTAACCTTCTTGGAAAGTTCCAGACTTTGGACAGTGGTTTGTGTTTCAATCATGTGTCTCAAAATTCTGTATATGTTTTTTTATAAAATGTTTTTGGCTGTTCTTTTGGGAAGGGAGGGAAAGGGAACCAGTTTGTCTGGCAGAAAGTACATGTAGTCAGTTGAAGCAGTGTAAACCCAACCTGATTTTCTCAGAATTAATGTAACTGCTGTAAATTGACTGTCTTGTCACATCAGTAAAAGAATCCTTCATTTCTTTCAATCTTGGTAATAGCATTGTCTTTTTATGTTTGTTTGTTTGAAATAAATTTTGGGTTATCTTTCAGATTTGACTTGTCATGTTTTTGTGTTGAGGACATATATTCTTCTATAGAGCTAGTTCTTTATTAAAGTTACAGTATGCAGCCTCACTTTCTGAGAAAGTAGTAACTTTAGTGTGTTGTTTTAACTTCTGTCCTTACTAATACACCAGTCTTGCAGATTGTTTTGGGGGATAACACTGCATAAATCAGTGGTGCAGTAATTTATGGCTTTTCTGCGTTTAAATTCTTGATGCGTATCCTTGTAGCAGGGAAATGGGATTTATATAAATCTTCCACTTCAGATATGTAAAAAACATGGGTTTCTTTGCAATCTTTTGAGATGTTTTTATTGTGGCTTTGTTAACAGAGCTATGATTTGCAAGACCATAAATAGAGGCTGAATTTGTTGCTCCCAGGCTGTTGAGCTGCCTGCTGCATGCATTCATTTCCCACTGTCTGTAGCCTGTTTCAGTTCTTGAGTACATTAAATTCTGCTGGATGCCTAAGGTGCTCGTTAGTTGTCTTCAGTGGAGATACACTAGAACCCTGAGCAAAGCTTTTTTAATACCTATTTTTTCAGACCCACTCTGTTTGTAATTTATTCTCCTTCCTGTGTGAAAAAAGGCACGCTATAATGTTGTAGAGGCACATGAGAGATGTAGGTCTGCACTGGAATATTTCCTACAAAGCTTGACTTGTGCCTTAAACTTAATTTATCAAGGTGCTCTGTAGGCTTAACAAAAGCAGCTTGCTCTGGCACTTTCTCTTACAGTTAAAAATCTTCATTTTAGTCCATAGCTTGTGACAGTGGTAAGGAATACCAAGTCTACATTGGTGACCTCCAAGCCAGATTCTTCTTAAAGTTTTTTGGTAGTAAAATGTATACACTCAGAAGATGAATGTATACTTCATGCTCTTTGAAACAAGGAAAGCAGGAACTGATACAAAATCTGCTCTGGCTTCTAGGTGACATCTATACTCTGTTGTTCTCACACAATGTGCTCTAGTATGAGGACAGTAGGAGTACCAGCTGAAGCTGACAGAGTGTAGCTGAGTATTAATGTGCTAGTAGCAATTATAGTCTGTTTCTTACTGTTCTTTCTATGATTTGATCATCTGTTGGCTGTACTAACCCTTTGCCAAGATTTCTGCTCCTGATGAGTTTGAAAAAAAATTTATTGGTAATTTCCCTCATATATTTCCATAAGATTTCTCAAATGCCTTTTCATGTTGTTTTATGGTTTTAGTCTGCTAGATTTTTTAATATTACTCGACTTCTTGAAACTTGGCTTTTTATAAACAAAAGTAGCTTTCTGGTACATTTTGGCCTTTAGACTGCATTTTTTTTACAGACAGCAGAATAATTTCTCAATTTATTGTCTTTAAGGAATTTTTGTTCTGCCTGAAAACAGCTCATTCTCAGCAGCTCTTTTTTAACAAGATTTTTGTTATGTAATTCCCTGTATCAGAAGTGCTGACATAGTTAGACTCTGGTGTCTTACTGCTTTATGAGTGTTTGCTACCTTGCAAATTCTGTGTGGACTTGTGGATTTCATTTTTGAATCTGACTCTTGTAGGACACTAGATGGTGCTGCTTTTCCTCAAATTCAAGCTTGGTTGGCTTTGACTGATATACGTAGCCTGTGTCAACAGGCCCTTTGGTTGTACAATTAGTCATTTGTTTTTAATTAGGATGGCACTTGCTGACAGTTTTAAATTAACTCTGCTGCTCACCCATAAGTAAAAATCAAAATATGATTTGATGTTTATGTAGGCACAGACTGAGCCCCCCCACAGGAGTTAAAGTAAAGCAGGATATGTGCCTTGCATTGCCAGATTTTAAGATGCACAAGCTCCAGCCTGGCATCTTTTCCAGGAGTATTAGCTGAAGAATTACATTGTATAGAATAAAGTGTGGTCGACCACTCTGCTGCTAAGCATTGCTTGGAGAAAAACAGCACTTGTGTGTGGTACTCAAGACTGCTGCTGCATCCACTGATTCAGGTGCTTGTATGCCTGTCCAATACCTTCACTGGAGGACTTCACTGCAGTTAAAATCCAGCAGGGAGAACAGCCTGCACTTAGGTATTTATGTACATTAAACTCCTGAAGAGACAAATATGTCAGTTAATTTCAAGTCAACAATGCTACTCCCCTTTTTGGACCCATATAAATAGATTTTGATCCATTCTACATATTTGAACAAGATAGAATTTTGTTTTAAGTTGTGTAGGGTTGGGGGGAATGGGCTTTTTTGAAGCTGAAAGGAGATTGCATTATGTGTTTCATTCCTGTTGCCCAGCACAGGACAAGCCAAGGATTTGGACACTAGGTCATAGGAAGACTTTAGCAGTGTGAGCAATGGCAGGCTGCTGCAGGGACTTGGGGATGGAAAGCAGAACAGTATTGATCATGTGAGAGTTCTGCAACAATATTGTCTTTTCTTGGTGCTTCTGTTTTTGGTCTGCAGACGTTGGAAATCTATGAAATATTTAATAGAAGGAAGCCTATAAGCCCTTGGAATTCTTACTAGAACTATAGGACTGGGAATGGAGCTGCTTCAGTGCAAGTGGACAAATGCTGTGCATTGTTTTTCAGACTGATGATGACATGTACAGAAAATCCCATCAGGTTTATTAAGGTTCAAGGCATTCATGCCAAGATCACTGATGGGCTGAATACATCATTACTGAGGGTGTAGGACTCCCGTGCTTCTAAACAGGAAGCTCCTTTTATATACTAAACAAAAAGAATGGGAAAGAAAAATAGAAAGTTCTACAGAAAACTGAAGCACAGTGTCCAAGCCAGCCTTTTTTGGGGGGAAGAATGGGTGGAAGGAAGAGAATAGATGATGTGGGTTGGAGCGGAAAACCAGAACCACTGACGGAAAAAGATGTAGTCAGAAACCCTGTTCATGAGTGAATTTTTTCATTGTTACCCAAATTAGTTTGAATGGAAGAAAGGCCTACTCCCAAATTTTGGAAACTTAGTCCAAACAGCCTATTTAATTTTACAATGGCATTTGATTGGTTTATGATGTGACTGCCTGCAACAGCAGGGGACTGGGTGTGCTGACTGTCTGTGTGGGTGGACAGGCTCTTGCAGAAAGCACTGCATAAACCTTTGGGAGGGTTGGGTAATGACTGATCATCACGAAGGGGGGGTTTAGCAATGTTTTGCTCTGTGTGGAACATGGTAAACATGGACACTTACTTCCTCAAGGTGCACATAGAAATCTTCAGAAGAGATCAGAATATTCCAATGTAGGCACATTTTATGAGTTTCTCTTTGAATTTAACAATGAAAATTACTCTAGGTTTTTAGAACCAGTTGTTTAATCAACTTTCTGATAAAGATTTATGTTTTAAGCACCTGTGCTTTTGGGTCACAGTCTGTTAGTTCATGTTACCCAAAGCCCATCTCTGTATGCAGTTGCTCTCTGCAATAGATGATCTAGTGCTCCCGCCCATTTTTGGATGATTTGAGCAAGGAACTTTGGTCACCAGAGTCTTTATACTGTTTGACCAGGGGAAGCCTGAATTTTATGAACTCTGTTGCAGTAGTGGGTCAATTTTAGCCTCTAAAGGAGACCATAGTGCTGCAGGTGACTTAGTCCTGTTCCTGTCTCACTGCACTCAGCTGTGTCACAGGAAGGTTATCAGTTCGTGGGTAAGGAAGGCTGCAAAAGCCTTTGCTAGGAAAGGAGAGTTTATTACATGATTCGTAGTCTAACTGCTGTCTAATAGAACTCACTGTTGTGGCACTTCTACTACAGTAAACTTTCATTTGCTCTTCTTGAATCCGCTAAACTGTTGAGCAGTAAAGCCTCCAGTTCTGTGGACATCACAGCATCAAATGTGCCTGTCACTGGAGCTTGTCATTCAACACTGATCAGGGTGAAATGCTCTGTAAAATTTTGACCCAGTAAGTCACATAATTCCTTCCCCAGTCTGTTCTATGGATATCACAAAGGACTGTCATGAAAGCAAACTATTTCCATTTAAAAAGAAGAAAGAATGCTGCTCTAAATTTAAGTTAAAATATGTAGAATATTAAGTATAAACCCTGTGGTTGTCATAATTGAATGCATTATTGAATTCTTCAGGAGCCCTTCAAATTTCAGAGGCAGGGAAAATTTGAAACAAGTAAATGGTGCTTCAAATCTTGATTTCTTTAAATAACTTCTGCAACAGATGACTAACTTTGTCACTCATCCTTAGCACGTAATTGCTCTGATTAAGTTGGCTTTTTATGCTGTGAAGGTGACACTTGTTAGACTAAATTACCTTTTTTACAGCCGGTAACTTGTTACTGGCTCATCCTGTGCTGTAGGTGGTGTGGTAATGCAGCGTGTTGTAATTTGTTCTGTAGCACCTATATTTAGTACTTTTTAGTAAAACAGTTGCCTCCCCCAAATGCCCAGATGTTGTGTTCCAGTGGTTAGAAGAAAGCTGAGGAAGAAATGAGATATCAACAGATAACATCTGAGAGCTAATTTGATTTGTTCTATATTTGTAATGCATTCCTCCAACCTAAATTCTTGTTGACTGACGTGCTGCTTATAAGAGGGGAGAGATCCAAAGCTCCACTACAACCCAGGAGGATGCACTGTAGTTAAATTGAACACAGCTCTTAAAAAGTTTCTTATACCAAACCTTCTGATGGTTATTGCTGCCTGTGGGTGTAATTCAAATATTTGGAGTTGTTTCTGAATTAATGCAGTCCTATCCATAAAGCACAGGTTCTAATCTCAGTACCAGCTAATGGAGATTTTCCTTGTGTTTAAGTGTTAAGCCTTTAGAAGTTCTTTGCCCTGCACTCATTCCCTGAAAACCAACCTAAGCCCAGCAGTGCCGTATTCTTGCAGCTTCCAGATTCACAACGTCCTGTGGGTATCACAAGATCTCTGTCCACTGTACTCAACCCTAATGCCAGCTGTCATTGCTATTATTTCTTTCTTGAGGCACTCTGATGTCCATACAATGATTTTTTTCCCTGTCTTATGTGCAGTCTCATGACTTAAGG